CAGTTTCTGCATTGTTCATTTTGAATAAATACAACCTTACAGTTGTATCTTTTGGTGTTTTATTCCTATATCATTACACGGCATCCTTCCTCATCCTTTTAAACTTGTTTACCTTAGATTCTATATTATCCTTATACATGAAGGTACTTCAAAAAGTTCACGGAAGGGCTGAGTCTGTGGCACACTCGGGAGAGTGCGGCGTTGGGGGTGCAGCAGCGCTCCCGCCGCGGGTTTGGATCCTATATAGGGATGACCGGTGCGCTCACAGCGCTCACTGGCGGAGCACGGTGCGGCCGGTCTCAAAAAGGACCAAAAAAAAAAAAAAATTTAAGGAAAAAAAAAAAAAAAAATTTAAGGAAAAAAAAAAAAAAAAAGTTCATGGAAAAATAGAAGTAAAATATAATAGGAATTTTTCCATGAACATTTTGAAGTACCCTTGTACTGTTCCCTCAGCTTCCTCCCTCCTCCCTTCCTTCCTTCCTTTGCATTTCCTTACATATTTGTAAGAAATCTTTGTTTTGTTTGGACTTCAGGTACACAGACACAGAATCAGAATAATCGCAATTCTTGGTTCATGACACATTTTATTATTGGCATGACTCTTCTATGTAATTATTTACATTTTCAGTTAAAATGAAAACTAGGAACCCACCACCCAATTCAAGAGCTAGAATCTTAAAAATCTCTTTTAGTTACCTATGTACTCCTCCCCTTTCTGGTCACCCTGGAGGTAGTCACTTTCCTGAATTTTTTGAGTGTTTTGTTCTGTTAATTTATTATTTAGTTTCTGGTTATTTTTGATCTAGATCTTCCCATACATAACCCCCAGGACTTGCTTTTTTCTTTCAATATTACATAACTAGAATTCATTCATGTTTTTGCACATAACTGAGCTCATTCATTTTCATTGCTATTTAAAATTCCATTGTGTGAATATACCACAATTTTCTCATTCTCCTGTTAATGGACATTTGTGTACTTTTTCTTTTGGAGAGGTGGATATTATGAGCAGTTCTACTGTGAACATTTTTTTTTAAATGTCTCAACACATGAGTGCAAGAATTTCTTTTGAGTATGTACTTAGAAGTGCAATTCTTGGTTTGTCGAGTATACATGAATTTACAAGATAATACAGAATCATTTTTCAAAGTGATTACACTAATTTACCTTTTCACCAGCTCTTTGAATAGTAGGGATAATAGCTGTTTAGTGTCATCTACATTGTAAAAGGCTTTTATAACTATTTGTTGTCAAAACTGACTTTGATTATGGTATATCTGTAATATGAAAGTTTTAAGTTTTACATCATCAATTATAACTATATTTTATTTATATATTCTGGGTTTCCAGTCTTGAATAAGAAGATTTCCCTTAATTCTATAAGTTTCTCACAGCTTCAAGATATTTTTTACATTCAATCTTGTATGCAACTGGAATTTATTTTTGGTAAGTGGTGTAAGAGAGGATTCCACTTTTATTTTCTCCCAGGAGAAGAGCTTGTCATGCTATATTATTCTATATAAATGTTAAAATATATTTTCAATTAAAATTAGACTCTCGGGCCGGCCCGTGGCTCACTCGGCAGAGTGCGGTGCTGATAACACCAAGGCCGCGGGTTCGGATCCCATATAGGGATGGCCGGTTTGCTCACTGGGTGAGCGTGGTGCTGACAACACCAAGCCAAGGGTTGAGATCCCCTTACCGGTCATCTTTTAAAAAAAAAATAAAAATAAAAATAAAATAAAATTAGACTCTGGAGTCCAATAGAATTGCATCAAATCTGTATATTAATTTGGGGGGAAGTTGACATTATGAGATTAGGTCTTATTGTTGTGGAAACGGACTAGGCAAGAAGTGACTGACACTTGGAAAGTTGGAGAGCCAGGTATTTATTACGCCGGTGGACCCAGACAAGCTAATGCCTGAAAATCTGGACTCCGACCTTAGGTCTTACAGGGCTTATATAGGCAAACTTTTCTGGGTTTTAGGTTTTGCTTTCTCAGCATTTATGTAGCTAGTACATATGTTTTGTTTCTCGGAATTCATGTGGTCTAGGCAGATAAGTAAGCTACAGAAGCCAAAAGTGCAAGTAGTGATTAGAGTCCAGACTAGTGTAACAAGCAAATACTGTTTCAAAGACAAAATATTACTTCAAGGACAAAACAGGCTTATGAGAAAATTATTTTGGCTTTTTTGCAACATTATAACTAGACCTTTTTTATATCATCAACAAGATTTGAGAGTGGTTCTTGATACAGCATCTGTGTTTTTCTTTCTTTTCTTTATTGCTGTTATAAATGTTGTAATATAAATTTCTTATCCTCTTATTACTGACACTATTATGTTGAAGATATTACATAATAATAATGATAGTAAGCTGTTGAATTCCTGATTTTAATTGAATTTGAAGTATTTCATAATTTATCATAATTATTGTTAGCTATTTGGAAACTAAAGCTTTTTTATTAGAATTAAGTAGTTCCCTTCATAATTATTTTTCTTAGTGTTTTCATTAGAAATGGCTGTTGAATTTTTTATTCACTGATACGATCATTTATTTTCTTCTTTAAAATGGATATCATTGTCAGTTTTTCTGACATTGAGCCAATGCTGAATTCTTGGCAGATACTGGTCCTTTTCAGTTTGTTCCTTTGCTACACTGTTAGATTACATTTGCTAATATTTTATGTGGAATGTTTACACCTATACGTACAAGTATGTTGGTCTACAGTTTCTTCCCTCTTCCTTTCCTTTTTCCTTGCCTACTTTGGTATTAAGTTGGATTCAGAAAATGAATTAGGGAAATTTTCCATCTTTCTTTATGATTGGGTGAGGCTATATTGTTAAGTGCATGTAATATCATAATTTGTTTACCTTTCTTGTAGATTTTCCGTCTTTATACCTATTAATGTCTTTAATCTTCACATATCTTTTATTTTATATTCACATCATCGCCCAAGTTTTCTTTCAATAGTATTAACCTCTTTGCATCCCTTTCTTTCCAAATTTTGTGTTTTTCTTTTACTATGTGACTTTTGTAAAAATCAGATTTCTGGAGTTTTGGTCATTTAATAGGTGTGTTTAATCCAATCACATTATTTTAAATTACTGATTTAATTAAAATGATTTGTTGCATCTCATTTTGTGTTCTTATTTTCTATGGTTTTATTTCCTTTCATTTCGTTTTTCTTTTTTATTGCCTCCTATTAGATTGATGGTATTTTAAAAATTCTTCTGGAATGCTACTTTCTATGAATTATACATTCGTTTCTATTACTTTAATGTACAGCCTTAAATTTTTACATGTATATTTAATATAGGCTAAAGTTAATCAGTATCTTTATCCTGAATATTTACAACACTTAGATGCTTTCAAACTCAAATCCCTCTCCATTTTCCAATCTTTTGTTGTCTAGTATTTTAATTTCACTTTATTTAAAAAAAATATTAAAATGTTTTAATCATCAAAGCTTATTTAGATTTACTTGCATATTATAGTTTTCATTAGGTCAAATTATCTAGGCATCCTGTACTTTAGTTTTTTAGTCTGAGAACTCATGTCTTCAATTGTGGAAGATTCTCCATAATTATCTCTTTCAGTACTGTTTTCAATTCTTATTTTCTCTTTTTGGAACTGCTATTATATGGATAGTGAACTGTCTCAGTCTATCCTCTGTGTCTCTTAACTCTGGATATTTCCCATCTAATCATCTTTTATGTGCTGCATTCTGCATGATTCCCATTCAAAATTACCAATTCTCCAATTTTTTCAACTGTATCTAGTTTGCTGTTTTACCCGTTATTGAATTTTGAATTTTAGATGCCTAATTTTTTCATTTTAAGACATTTTAGTGGGATTTTTTTAATTTCTGAATTTTGTATAGTTATGAATAAGCCTGCTTTTTTTATATTCCTTCATTTTTGACTATTTTAAATATAAATTTAATAATTGTTCACATGATTCTTATCTTTAGTTTTGAATAGTATAAACTTTCTCCATTTTTGTATGTGTCTAATCCAGGCACTTTGTTTCTTTGTGTTTTATACCTTTTATTTTGAGTTTGTTTACAGAGAGTTTATTTTCTATATGAATTCTACACATGGGCTGCCAGATAGCTCAGTTGGTTAGAGCACAGTATTATAACACCAAGGTCAATGGTTTGGATCCTCATCCTAACCAGCTGCCAAAAAAAAAAAAAAAAAGAATTCTGTACATTTTTGATTATGGAAATGGGTCTGCAATTGCTTCTGTCTGGGCTGTATGTGTTTTACTGCTTGTAAAGTCATTTTTGTGTTTACTTCTTGGCTCTAGGTTCTCAAACCTCTCGGGTTATTACAGTAGGACACCCACCTGAAAATCCTTGTAGGTAACTTCTTGTCCATTTATAGCCCCAAAGAAATGTATTGTTTCTTTGTACTTATCCTAAGCCAGTGAGTAGACCTTTATTAGTCCCCATTTTACAGACCTTTTATAAATCCTAACTTCATGTAGAGAGATTTCAGCTCTTCCTTTTCCCAAAGGTGGAAGGCTTCATATTTCCTGTTCCCACACTGAAATATCACTCCTTATCCACTAGGGCTTATATTCTAACACCCTTAGTTCAGAATTCAATCTTACAACTCTAGTGTTGAGTTCCCTAATTATTTCTGACAATGAGGAAATCCCTTTTAAATTCTATATACACACATACACTTACATTAATGTCAAGGTCTATGTGTGTGTACTAGCATTATACACACACATATATCACTTCTACAGGCATTACTGTGTGTTTTGAGTGAGACAGAGGTTATTTTGCATTATTTGGGTCTGTAATATATATTCTACTTCTGAAAGTTCCCTTCTATTTTCCCTGTATCTTAAAATTCCTTATCCACTAATAATATGCTTTCTTGCTTTTGAGCATTGTTATGGTTATAGCCTTAAAAAATAAAAACATAAGAGTGAAACAATACAGTAGCAATATATGAAGGACATACAAAATTTTAAAATATTTTACCTGGGTTAAATTGTGAACAAAATTTCTGTTAGGAAAAAGAGAAAACTTATTTTAGTAAACAGCATATTAAATATTAGTTTGAATATTCTACTTTCAATACACATTTCTTAACCTTTGAATATTCTCTTCATATTCCATCACAGATACACAAACAATTAAAGGCTAAATGTACAAAGAAAGAGAGAGGGGGGTAGGGGGAGGGAGGGGGAGAGAGAGAGAGAGAGAAAGAAAGAAAGAAAGAGAAAGAAAGAAACCTACATATGTCATCTTAGTCCATCTTCTGTAGGCTGAGGGCCTTGAATCTGCATGCTTCCTTAATAGTACTGTGAGTTCACATACAGTTGCATGATTAATCTTCCTTAAAAATTTGATATTATCATTCCATATTAAAAAGCCTACGATGTTTACATGTAATTTATGTCAGATAAAAATTCACCTTCTAGAACTACAAATCTTTCTAAAAATCATACGAATTAATGTTTTTCCTTTCAAGGCTGGAATATTATACTATCAGAAATAATCTTGTTTCAGGAATCTACTTAGATATGCATTTCACTAAACACTTAACAGATTTAAGTAGGTCTACTTAACAGTATGTTAAGTGAAAATAGCCATTGACAAAACTGTACCTTCTATGATATAACTCTATTTGTGTAAACATAATCCTTAAAGTCACTACATATAAAACATACGTATGTATATGTATGTGTGTGAGCAAAGTATTTTACATGTTCTCAACAACTTTACACATTAAAATGTACTGATTGTATTTTTTAAAAAGTGTGCTCAAAAGAATTCATACTCTTTGTAATCTAGAAGTATTAGGATTAAAGGTCAAAAATGTATTTTGAGAATAAAATAATAAAATTTTTAAAAAAACACAAAAAACCAAGTACTGTATGGGAGTATCCAATAAGCTCATGAAAAGAAACTCAACATCATTAATTATCAAGAAAATGAAAATTAAAACCACAACGACATACCATTTAATTCCCACTATAGGGACAATACTAAATATTGGCAAAAATATGGAGCAATTGAAATGCTTATACATTGCTGGTGATAAATAAAGTAATATAGTTGCTTTTGAAATGATTTTTTAAATAAAGTTTAACATTTATTTATCCTCTCATCCAGCATTCCACCCCAGGTATTTACCCAAAAGAAAGAAAAATCTATGCCTGCAAAAGACTTGTACAAGAATATACATAGCTGTTTTATTCATAAAAGCCCCAAACTGGAAAAACCCAAATGTCTGACAAAAGGAGAATGGATAAACAAATTGATGTACATTTATACAACACTACTCAAAAATAAAAAGAAACAAAACATGGATACATACAACACGGATTCACCCCAAAAATCTTATATTGAGAATAAGAAGCCAGATACAAAAGAGTATATATTATAGAATTAGATTTACATAAAATTCAAAAATGGGAAAACCAAGCCATGATGATATAAAAATCAGAACAGTGGCTGCCTCTGGATGTAAGGGGTTGTCTGCAAAAGGGTACAAGGAAACTTTCTTCTGAGGAAACTGACATGTTAGGTCAGAAACTTGGAAACTATGAAAGGAAGAGCACTGAGGAAGAAGTAAGTGAAGTTTTTTTCTGCCTTAGTCTATTCAAGTAACTATAACAGAATACAATAGACTTGGTGGCTTTTAAACAACAGAAATTTATTTCTCACAGCTCTGGAGGCTGGGAAGTCCAAGATCAAGGAGCCAGCAGATTTGGTGTCTTGTGAGGGCCCACTTCCTGGTTCACAGAGGGTGCTATCTAGCTATGTCCTCACATAGTAGAAGCAGCAAAGGGTCTCTCTCAGGCCTCTGTTATAAAGGCGCTAATCCCAAATATGAAGGCTCCATCCACATGACCTAATCACCTCCCAAAGGCCTTACCTCCTAGTAACCTTGGGGGTTAGGATTTCCACATATGAAGTTTAGGGGACACAAACATTTACACCATAAAATGAAGGCAAAATAAAAACTTTTATTTTTCTTATTCTTAATTTGCCTAACAGATAAGAGTTTGTTCAAAATAATAGCACAATGTATTCAATTATATATGCTTTTGTATATATCTTATGTATGTGTACATATATATGTGTGTATACAAATGCTTATATATGTTTAAATATAAGTAAAAAGATGACAGCAATCAATCAAGGGACAGGAGAGAAAAATTAGGATTATTTTGTTATTATAACATATTCACATTGCCTGTGAAGTGGTACAGTGTTATTTGAAATTGGGCTTGAATTAGTTGTAAATATATATTGGGAACTAATAACTAATAACTCTAGGGAAAACACTAAAAAAAGTAAAAAAAGGAAATATAAGTGATATACTAAGAAAGGAGAGAAAAAGGAATCATATAAAATACCCAATTGAAACCACAAAAGACAGAAAAAGAGTGGAAAACAAAAGTAGGAACAAAGAACAAAAGCAACAAATAGGGAACAGTAACAAATACGATAGATATTAATCTAAGTACAGATGCTCCTCAACTTACGATGGGGCTACATTTCAATAAACTCATCATAAGCTGAAAATATGCATTTAATACACCTATGTTACTGAACATCACAGCTTAACCTAGCCTACCTTAAATATGTTCAGAACACTTACACTACAGCTGGGCAAAATTATCTAACACAAAGCCTATTTTATAATAAAGTGTTGACTATCTCATGTAACTTATTGAATAATACACTGAAAATGAAAAAAAAGAATGGTTTTATAGGTACAATCATAAAGTCAAAATCACAGTACATCAGAGACTTTCTGTATATCAATAATCACACTGAATGTAAATTTTCTAACTGTACCAATTAAAAAACAGAGATTGTCAGAGTGAATCAAAAAAATACCCAACTATATGTTGTCTGTAAGAAGCTCACTTTAAAAAAATACACATATAGATTAAAAGTAAGTGGATAGAGAAAGATACACCATCCTAACATTGATCAAAAGTAGACAGGAGCAGCTATATTAATTTTAGACAGAGTGGACATCAAAGCAAAGAAAGTTATGAGACATAAAGAAGAGAATTACATAATGATAATGGGACTAATTCTACATGAAGTCATAACAATTCTTAATGTGTATATGCCTAATAACAGAGCATCAAAACACATGATGCAAAAAAACTGATAGAACTGCAAGGAGAAACAGGTGAATCACTATTATAATTGGAGACTTCAATACCACTCTGTCAGAAATAGATCAAGCAGGCAGAAAATCAGTAAGCACATAGCTGAACTCTACAACACTATCAATCAACTGGATATAACTGACATCTACAGACTACTTCATCCAACAACAGTGGAATATATATTCTTCTCAAGCTCACGTGGAACATTCAATGAGTTAGACCACATTCTGTGCCATAAAATATACATTAAGAAATTTCAAAGAATAGAAATCATACAGTGTCTGCTCTCAGACCACCATGGAATTAAACTAAAAATCAGTAACAGAAAAATAACTAGAAAATCCCAAAACATATAGAGATAAAACAACACACTTCTAAATAACATATGAGTTAAAGAAGAAATCTCAAAAGAAATAAAAAAAAATATTTTGGACTAAATGAAAATAAAAAGACAAATTATCAAAATTTGTGGGATGCAATGAAAGCAGTGCTTGGAGGGAAAATTATAGTATTTAATGCATACATTAGAGAAGAAGAAAGATATAAAATTAATTATCTAAGCTTCCACTGTAGAAAACTAAAAAAAAGAAGAGCAAATTATATTCAAAGCAAGCAGAAGAAAAGAAATAATAAAATTAGAGCATAAAGCAATGAAATTGAAAATAGGAAATCAATGCAGAAAATCAATAAAACCAAAAGCTGATTCTTTGAAACAATCAACAAAATTAATAGGCCTCTAGTCAGGCCAACTAAGAAAAAAAGAGAGGATGAAAACTACTGATATCAGAAATGAAGGAGGGACATCAATACAGATCCCATGGACAATAAAAGGATCACAGAGGAACACTATGAACAACTCCATGCCCACAAATTTGATAACTTAGATGAAATGGGCCAATTCCTTGAGACATGACCTGCCTAAACTTACATAAAAAGAAATAGACAATCTTAATAGGTCTATATGTATTAAAGAAATTGGATAAATAATTAATAGCTTTCAAAAACAGAAAGCACCAGACCCAGATGGATTCTCTGGTTAATTCTACCAAATATTTAAGAAAGAAATTATACCAATTCTCTATAATCTCTCTCAGAAGATAGGAGAATACTTCCTAACTCATTCTATAAGGCCAGCATGACCCTAATACCAAAATTAGACAAAGACATTATAAGAAAAGAAAACTATAGACCAGTATATCTCATAAACACAGATATGGAAAATCCTCAACAAAACCTTAGCAAATCAAACCCGACAGTGTACAAAAAGAATTATACATCATTACCAAGTGAAATTTATCACAGGTATGCAAGGCTGGTTCAACATTTAAAACAATTAATGTAATCCATCATATCAACAGGCTAAAGGAGAAAAATCACATGATCATATCAACAGATGCAGAAAAAGCATTTGACAAAATCCAACACCCATTCATGATAAAAACTGTCAGTAAACTAGTAATAGAGTGAACTTCCACCACTTGATTAAAAATATCTACAAAAACCCTACAGCTAACTTCCTACTTAATGGTAAGAAACTATAAGCTTTCCCACTAAGATCAGGAAGAAGGCAAGGACATCCCTTACCACTCCTTTTCCATATCATACTGGAAGTCCAAGCTCATGCAATAAGACAAGAAAATAAAATAAAAGGTATACAGACTGGGTAGGGTAAAATAAAACTACCACCATTCACAGACAACATGATTGTCTATGTATGAAATCCAAAAGAACAGAAAAAAAAACTCTTGAAATTAAAAAGCAATTATAGCAAGATTGCAGGATGAAGGGTTAATATACAAAAGTCAACTGCTATCCTATATGAGGGTACTTCAAAAAGTTCATTAAAAAATATAATTAAAAAATAATACAAATCCTTCCATGAACTTTTTGAAAACCCCTCATATACCAGCAATGAACAAGAGGAATTTGAAATTTTAAAGAGTATGATTTACATTAGCACTCCAAAAAATGAAATACCTAGGTATAAATCTAACAGAATATATAAAAGAGCTGTATGAGAAAAACTATTAAATTCTGATAAAATAAATCAAAGAAGAACTAAATAAATGGAGAGATATTCCACGTTCATGGAGAGAAAGGCTCAATACTGTCAAGATGTCAGTTCTTCCCAACTTGATTTGTATAAATTCCAATTAAAATTCCAGCAAGTTATGTTGTAGATATTGATAAACTGATTCTAAAGTTTATACGAAGAGGCAAAAGACCCAGAATAGCCAACACAATACTGGAGGAGAAAACTGACAACACCAAATGCTGGCGAGGATGTAAAGCAATAGGAACTCTCATTCATTGCTGGTATAAATTCAAAATGGTACAGACACTTTGGAAGACAGTTTGGTGGTTTCTTACAAAACTAAACAAACACTTACCATCAAGAGCACTCTTTGGATCCAAAGGAGTTGAAAAGCTATGTCTACACAAAAACCTGAACATGGATGTTGATAGCAGCTTTACTCATGATTGCTAAAACTTGGAAGCCACCGAGATGTCCTTCAGTAGCTGAATAGATAAATTGTGGCACATCCAGACAGTGGAATATTATTCAGCACTAAGAAGAAATGAGCTATCAAGCCATGACATAACATGGGAAAACCTTAAATGCATATTGCTAAGTGAAAAAAATAGTCTGAAAGGTTTGCATACTGTGCGATTCCAACCATATGAAATTCTGGAAAAGGAAAAATTATGGAGACAGTAAAAAGATCAGTGGTTGTCAGGGATTAGGATGTGGAGATGGATGAATGGGGGAGCACAGAGGATTATTAGAACAATGAAAATAATATGCATGATATTATAATGGTAGATACATATCATACATTTGTCCAAACCCACAGAATGTACAACACCAGGAGTGAACCCTAATGTTAACTATGGATTTTGGGTGTTGATGTGTCAATGTAGGTTCAGCTGTTGTAACAAACGTACAATCTAGTGGGGGAAATTGATAATGGAGGAGGCTATGCACATGTGAGGGCAGGGGATATATGGAATATCTCTCTGCACTTCTCTCAATTTTGCTGTGAACCTAAAATTGTTCTTAAAAAATAAAATCTTTAAAAAAATTGTATTCTACACAACAGTGAGGACTAGTTAGAAAATTGTAATTTTAAAAATTTGACTATTTACAAGAGCAACAAAAATACTCATATAAAGTATGTAGGAATAAATCTAATAAAAATATACAGGCACTTTATAAAAAAATTACAAAACTTTATTGCCAGACATGTCGAGGACTAGTTAGAAAATTGTAATTTTAAAAATTTGACTATTTACAAGAGCAACAAAAATACTCATATAAAGTATCTAGGAATAATCTAATAAAAATATACAGGCACTTTATAAAAAAATTACAAAACTTTATTGCCAGACATGTAAAAAGACTAAATAAATGAAGAGTTATATATTACTCTTGAGTAGAAAGACTTCCAAAATTATTTAAGACATTAAGGTAAATTATAGTAAAAATCCCAACTACAGTTTTCATGGAATTTGACAAACCAATTGCAAAAATTTTTAGGAAGGAAAAACAGACCCAAGACATAGCAAGGAGACTCCTGACCACTCGTCAAGATTTCAGAAATAAAGTTATAGTAATAAAGTTAATGTAGTATTTGTTCAATACAGACAAATCAATCAGCTGAACAGAATAGCCAGCCCAGAAAGGAAACCATTCTTATATAGAAAATTGACCTATGAGAAGACAGACATTGTAAATAAATAGATTATTCAATAAATGGATATGAGAAAATTAATTACTCATGTAGAAAAAATAAAACTGGGTTCCTATCTTGAAGGTTGTATAAAAACTAATTCCAACTGGATGGAAGACTGACTGTTCAAGAACTGACAAAACTGAACAATTGATTATAATCAGATATAGTTGGCAAACTATTTTTAAAAATTAAGGAATCATTCATTTTACAATATTCAGGATAGTTGTTAACTCTTGGGGGATGAAGAGGATGTGAGCAGTAGGGGCGTAAAGAAGATTCTAAGGTGCTGGTAATGTTCTGTTTCTTGATTTGAGTGTTGGATACATGGCTATTAATTTCATTTTTATTCTTTAAATGGTATTTTTACAGGTGATTGACTGTGAAAATTTTTATAACATATATAACAGAAAAACACTCAGTCCCTATGGAGTTCTCTCTTTGGGGTTAGCCTATCCCCTGAAGAGGTGCTTCTCCTGTTCTTGCTTTCATGGAGAAAACATATCTGGATCAAGGCAGCCTGGAGGTCCATCTCTTTCTGTCTCAGCTTTTGGGGCTCAATGTGTGCATGTGAGATTGGTACTCATTAGACTAACTATAAATGATTCTTGGCAGATGTCTTAGTTTGGGCTTCTTTAACAATAATACCATAGACTGAGTGGCTTTAGCAACAAACATTATTTCTCACAGTTCTGGAGGCTGGGAAGTCCAAGATCAAGGTGCTGACAGATTTGGCAGCTGGTGAGGGTGACAGATGGCAGCTTCTCACACTTTGTCTTCACACGGAAGGGTTGAAGGAGCTCTTTTGGGTCTCATAAAGGCATCATTCATAAGGGCTCCACCCTCATGACCTAATTACCTCCCAAAGGCACCCAAGCCTCCAAATTCCATC